CTCATATATAAATATGTAACCCGGGTGTCCCCAAAGTGAGTGTCCCCTCCTCACCAATAAAAGGGGAAAGCCAGCAGGACACACGTGCTGGGGGTGGAAACTGCAGTCTACTCGCAGTTCCCTCCCACCTATAGTGTCTCAATAGAGGAGGAACAGAAAGCGATGTCTTAAACGGGCACAAATTTAATATATGTATTAAAAGGTAGTGAACTAAAGTGAGTATTTACAGGTTACACATGCATACAACTATAACTATATATATACACACCTAAATACAAACAGGTAAGCTTAATGGTCCCAAACAGTATGAACAGGTAAGTACAACAATAAATGGCATTTTAAAATACAAGGCATACAGTTAACAGTTAATAAATGCTCCCAAACTGCATAGTGTGTATCAAACAATCAATAAACACTCCAAAATATGAGACGCAAGGGTTCTCTAGTGGTTCCCCTCCTCTAGGGGGTCTTCCCCTCCTGCTGCTTTATTGAGGCTACCTTTCCCTGAGCCTCACTCCCTGGTGGGAGACCCACTGCCCCACTAACTCACGTGCCCCAAGGAGCTGGGGCAGTGTTCATAAGCTCCCTGGCCTGACTACTGTTTCTCCGAGGGAGGGCTCAGTTCCAGGCCTCGGGGGAGGGGGGTGGCGTGACTTGCTCACACATTCCAGTGGCTCAATCCTTCTCAGGGGGAGTTGAAGGCCTGGGCCGCCTCGTGCATGCCCGTGGCCATGCTGCTCTGAATGCTGTTCCCCGCACTTGGGAACTGCTCTGTTCCCAGGGCCCTTGCAGACCCACTGCAGGGAATGGGTCCCAGACTGCCCGGCCCCTCTGGCCCCAGGTCTTTATGCCCTGCAATGGCTTCTGTGCTGGGCTTCACACCATGCTTGGAGACCCAAGCTGCCTTGTTATGACTCCCATGGTCCCAGTCCCTCGTGGACCTTGTGTGCAGCAACACCCACACCGGCTACCGCTTCTGTCCAGCGGTGGAATCTTTCGGGCTCTTCTGGGCAGACGGATACTCCCACTGGGCATCTCTCCCAGCTCTTCTTGGCACTGGGACCTCTTCTTTCTTCTTCGTCCCTCGCAGACTGTGCTGCGTGCTCAGCACGCGGATGCTTATATCCCCTTCTGGGGCTCCGCCCCCAGATTGAAAATGAGCCAATTAGGGGGCTGCAACTGCAGCTCCCAATTAAGTCCACTCCTGCCCCCACCCCCTTTGGAGTAGAGGGGGAGTGGACTCTCCTCCTGGCTCCTCCCCTGCCTGTCTCTGATTGTTTCATAGTTTCATAGTTTCATAGTTTTAGGGTCGGAAGGGACCTAATAGATCTTCTAGCCCGACCCCCCGCCAGGGCGGGAGAACAACAAAAGAACCCTAAACAAAAAACGGGACTCAAATGAGTCCAGCCAGGTAGGTATCCAGCCTCTTCTTAAAGATCCCCAGGGTAGGGGCCAGCACCACCTCCCTTGGAAGTTGGTTCCAGCTCCTAGCCGCCCTAACTGTGAAGTAGTTTTTTCGGATGTCCAATCTGTACCTCCTCTCCATCAACTTGTGCCCATTACTCCTTGTTATGCCAGCGGGGGCTAGGGGAAACAGCGTCTCCCCCAAACCCTTCTGGTTCCCCCTAGTGAGTTTATAGACGGTCACCAGGTCCCCCCTCAGCCTTCTCTTGTGGAGGCTGAATAGGTTCAGGTCCCGCAGTCTCTCACTGTAGGGTCTGCCCTGTTGTCCCCGGATCATGCGGGTGGCCCTCCTCTGGACCCTCTCCATGTTGTCCACATCCCTCCTGAAATGGGGCGCACAGAACTGGACACAATACTCCAGCTGCGGCCTGACCAGCGTCGCATAGAGGGGGAGGATCACCTCCCTGGCTCTACTCGAGATGCACCTGTGGATGCACGACAAGGTCCGGTTAGCCCTGCCAACCATGACCTCGCATTGTCGGCCCATGTTCATCTTGGAGTCAATAATGACACCAAGATCCCTTTCCGCCTCCGTGCTCTCAAGTAGGGAGTTCCCCATCGTATAAGTGTGCTGCTGGTTCCTACTACCCAAGTGCAGCACCCTGCACTTGTCCGTATTGAAACACATCCTGTTCCTGTTTGCCCACCCCTGTAACCTATCCAGATCCTTCTGCAATCTCTCTCTCCCTGCTAGCGTGCTCACCTCCCCCCAAATTTTGGTGTCATCAGCGAATTTAAACAGGTTGCTTTCCACCCCAACATCAAGATCGCTGATGAAGAAATTGAACAGCGCAGGCCCCAGGACCGAGCCCTGGGGGACTCCACTACCCACCTCCCCCCAAGTCGAATATGATCCATCCACCACCACCCTCTGAGTGCGACCCTTCAGCCAATCTGCAATCCATCTGACTGTGTAGGCATCTATGCCACAGTCGCCTAGTTTATTAATTAGGATGGGGTGAGAGACGGTGTCAAAGGCCTTGCTGAAGTCCAGAAAGACTACATCCACCGCGACACCTGCGTCCATGGCCTTTGTGACCTGATCATAAAAGGCAATCAGGTTGGTCTGACATGATCTCCCCCTAATAAATCCATGCTGATTGCCCCTGAGCATCATTTCTGATGCCGGCCCATCACAAATGTGCTCCTTGATGATCTTCTCAAAGAGTTTCCCCAGGATTGAGGTAAGACTGACGGGCCTATAATTGCCCGGGTCCTCCCTTTTCCCTTTTTTGAAGATGGGGACCACATTAGCTACCTTCCAATCGTCTGGCACCTGGCCCAAGCACCACGATCACTCGTAGAGCCGTGCCAGGGGCCCTGCAATAACCCCAGCTAGCTCCCTCAGCACCCTGGGGTGGAGAGCATCCGGACCCGCTGACTTGAACGCGTCCAGCCCCTCCAGAAGCTCTCTAACCCGGTCCTCCCCAACCTGAGGTCTGAAGGCGATCCCCTCGCGTCCCGCTTCTATCACAGCAGGGAAGTCCCGGTCCCTGCACAAGAAAACGGAGGTGAAGAATTGGTTAAAGAGGTCCGCTTTATCCTCTGACGCAACCACCAGATTGCCCCGCATATCCTGCAGGGGCCCCACATTACCCGGCGCCTTCTTCATCCTCCCAATATATTTGAAAAAGGACTTTTTGTTATCCTTAATCCTGGACGCTAATCCGAGCTCTATATCCGCCTTGGCCTTCCTAACAGCCCGCCTGCAGGCCCGAGCAGAGGAGGTATACTCCTCTTTGGAGATTACACCCCCCTTCCACCGGGCGTACGCCGCCTTTTTGGCAAGCAGGCATTCCCGGACACCCTTGGTGAGCCAGGGGGGCTTCCGGACACTCCTGCCCCCTTTGCTTCTTGTCGGGATGGACACCCCTTGGGCCCCGAGTATGGGGTTTTACCCCACCAATCGCATTTGTGGTCTCCTAAGCCCAGAGAGCCAGGTGAAGCTTGAGAAGGAATCGCAAATCGAGTCTTCCCTGGATTTGCAGGAGAATTTTTTGGGTTCTTAAAGATGGAGGCTGTAAGCTTTCATAGCAAAAGTAAAAAGGAAGAAGGCTAAGACCATGAACAAAAACATTCTTATCTAAAGTGTTATTTAGGCACTAAAGTTAAATATGTGTTTAACAGACTGTTAGTATTAGCCTGATGTCATTCTGTTAGCAGGATCCTGCTGGGAAAATGTAAGAACTGAAATATAAGAGGTAAAAGAGGTGCCTAGGGCAGGGCTGTTTAATGTAAGTAGCCATGGCCTGAACATCCCATGGGGCTGTACACCAGCGGGGGCTGCACTCTTACAGATGGTGCCAGGGTGACCTGAGGGGTCCCTGGGCTGCATGCCACACTGACAGCCATCCCCACCTGCTGCACCGTATTACTCCTCCCCTCCCCCATTGCACTGCATGGGCGCCCCTTCCCCACGGCTGCTTCGTTCACCCAGTCCCACCCAGGCTCACCCTCAGCTCCCCTGGCCGCACCATGCTGCAAAAGCAAGAGGAGGGAGGGAGAGCAGAGAGATTCTGGCCGCATGTTCAGCTAGAGTGATGAGGGGAGTGGTGGCTGGGCAAAAGCCCAGAGGCTGCAACTTAACTAACCCCTTGTGGCCTGCATGTGGCCCATGGGCCACTGGTTGGACAGCCCTGGCCTATGGTATAAGTTGACAGGATCCTAGCCGGCATGCTTGGAAGCTTCTTTATACATAAAAAGAATTAAAAATAAATAAATAACCAAAAGAAATTGAAACCATTTTTTTCTTTTATAGGTTATTTAATTATGGGAACACATGACCAGCAAGTGATTGTGACCCTATAATGAATCACAATATGTCAGGCAAGATGCCTCAGAACTGAAGATGAGCAATGGATTCTTTGTTTAATACATATCAAACTAATATCAAATTACTTCAATGTACCAAACTATGAAGGGTTTTACTGTTCCTAGTATGTGTGTGCAAGGGGATTTAAATTCATTTCCATGTGCCAGGGATTTACATTCTGAACTTGCCATGCATCAGGATGAAAATATAGCATGACTGGCTCATAAAAACAAAAAGACTTATTCTTAGGTTCTCTCAGTCTCACTCATCTTATGCAGAATTTTTATGTAACTCAGTTGTCCAGTAGTGCCTGTACAAAATAAAGAAGCTTTGGGAAGTGTTCTTTTCAGGCTTTCTTTATGCTTTTGAAGAAATTTAAAAATCAGAAGCATACCACAGAAGATCAGTGCAATACGTACTCAGAATTTCATGTGGATTCATAGACCACAGAACAGGGTAGGCCACCCGGGCTATGGCCCAACCAACTTTTAGCACATTAATTTAGCTAGCTATGCAGTTAAAAAATAGCTATAGTTTTAACCAGAATGACAATTGTACATTTGTGGATTATGTAAATTAACATGCTAAAAGTTGGTTGGGCCATGGCCTGGGTGGCCCACTCCGTTCCGCAGCCTATGTGTGGATTATAAGAACCTCATAGAGCTTATGCAACTATTTCATTTTAATATTATCACAAAATGAGCAGGCTGTTTCTTGCTTCCAGGACAAAGTAATTTTGGGGACAGATTACCCTTTTCCACTGGGGGAGCTAGAACCTGGAAAACTGATTGATTCTATGGAAGAGTTTGAGAAAGAAGTAAAGGTACAATCTTTGCAATTTTTTATTTCTATTTTAAGCCTCTCTTTTTAGAGCCGGATCCAGGGCCTAGGGAAGTCAATGAGGGGTTTCTGTTGACTTCCGTGGGCTTTGCCATGAGCCCTTGGAGTTAAATGCTACTGGTATTTCAGATTTACATGCTTGTGTGGTACTTACGTCACTGTGTCACTGAAATTTTTGCACCTACACACATTTTTGGATTCTATTCCCATCTGTGATGGACTATATCACACTCCAGAAATGTTATGTGAGTACATAGGTGAGGATTCAAATTGTCTTAGAATGTGCCTAGATTTAGGTGGGACAATGCCAAACTTTTGAGTACCTTCCCCAGAAGGGAGATTCAAATTGACCCATATGGCAGTTAGTATTACCAGTACAGATGTAATAGATACCTAGGTGCTCTGTACAGAGAATGAGGAATGGTAGGTGCTCCAGAGGGCAATCCAGAAAACCAGGAGATGCACAGAAGTAGCCAATATGAAACACTAAAACACAGGGGTATATCTGAACTCCCATCCCCCTCAGGCTCCATTCATTTACAGTTCAAAACACCTAGTCACATCTTCAACTGATCTTCATCTTCAACTGATCTTTGCTCATCCCACAGGGGAAGAGGGCTACCAAAGGTGCCCTAAACATTAATCTATCTCTTTTCACCTGACTGGAAAACTGTGTCCAGTGGGATCACTCTATCTGCAGTCCAAATTAAGTAATGAAGTCTGCCACCTGGAATGTCCACATCCTGATGGACAACCCTAACAGCGAGTGACCAGAGAGAAGGACAGCACTCATAGTCAGAGAACTTGCATCATTTGCTATTGATATTGATGCACTTAATGAGACCAGATGCACAGGAGAGGGGCAGCTCACAGAGCATGGTGATAGCTATGTGTTTTTTGGAAAGAAAAAGCCAAAAGAGACAGACACATCTATAGCATTGGTTTTGCTATCAAGACCAAGATCATTACTCAGATAGCAGAATGTCCAGTTGGCATCAGAAGTGTCTCATGATGCTTCGTCTTCAACTGACCTGCGTACAACATGCAACAGTCATCAGTGCATATGCCCTAACCCTTGATGCAGATGATGAAACAAAAAAAGAATTCAATTCTAAATTCAACTAAATGCTGTCATCTCTCTCCAAAGAAGATAAGATATTTTTTTCTTGGAGATTTCAATGCTAGATGAGCAAGGAGTCTAAGCTATGGAAAGAAACACTTGGAGAGGAAGGGGGAGGGAAAATCAATTCAAATTGAATTTTTCTCCTGAGCAAGTGTTCGGAACATGTTCTTATCATCACAGATGCACTCTTACTCAAAATACTGGGCACCTGATTGACTAAATGATAGTGCACACCCAGGACTGTTGTGGCATCTGTATCACCAGAGCTTTGACCAGCACAGATTACTGATGGATGGATTATTGTCATTATGTCATGTCCATTTGCATTGCTCCAAAACAATGTAAACAAAAGAAGCACCCAAAGAAGAGATTAAATATTGAGTGCTTGAAAGACCCTGATAATAACAATCATCTCCAGCAGTGCCTCAGTGAAACTCTCTAACCTCCCTGATGATCTGGACACCATTAATCACTGGAAGAGCCTCAATAAAGGCACCTATGAGGTATGCAAAGACCCTCTAGGCTTCTCCACAAGTAAACATCAGGACTGGTTCAATGAGGAGGATAGGGAAATCCAAACTCTTACTGAGAGAAAAAGGGGAGCTTTCAAAGCTTGGCAGAATGACATCAACTACAAATAGAAACAAGACATTTATCACTGCGTTAAAGCAGAGATCCAAAGGAAAATTAGAGAGCAAAATAACAGGTAGCGGGATAACAAAGCAAAAGAGATGAAAGTTTCCTGACAGCCATGCCGTGTAGTTTCTTCAGCACAACCAAAGTGGCCTATGGGCCAAGCATACAAGGAGCCACCCTCTGAGGTCCAAGTATGGAACTCTTTCAAGACAGCTTGGTGGAAGGAGCACTTTCAAGAGCTCCTGAACCAAGGTTCTACTGTTGAAGACAACACCGTCAAAGCAGCATAACACCCCATTGGATGCTTCTACATGAGACACTTTACTGTGCAGCAGACTAATTTGCTGTGCAGTAATTAGGGCACAGTAGACTAATTTAATGCGTTGCTGGATAGTCCCATCAGATACAAATAGTATCTGGCAGTGCAGTAAATTACTGCACTTAAATGCATGTGTAGATGGTGACATTGGGATTAGTTTACTCCAGCTCAAATTGAGCCAGACTATTTTTAGTCACGTTAATTGCACAGGTAGACAAGCCCATTAAGGACTACCTTACAGGTACACCAGCTTATCAAGAGGCCTTGAAAGCCATTAAGCAGATGCAGAACAACAAAGCATGTGGTCCTGTTGGCATGCCAGCTGCAATTTATAAGCAAAGTAGAAAAAAGCTCTCTTACCAACTGCATGTCATTATTATGAAAATATGGAAACATGAAGAAATTCCAAGTGACTTGAGAGATGCCAGAATAATCATTACTATATTCAAGAAAGGTGATAGATTGGATTGCAACAGTTACTGTGGTATTGTACTCTTCTCCATAGCTGGGAAGACCTTCACCCACATTCTTCTCAATAGACTCATTTTCCTCACTGAGGATATTCTACCTGAGCCCCAATGTGGTTTCACACCACTCAAAGGTGCAATAGATATGATCTTTGCTGCTAGACAGCTGCAGGAGAAGTGTTGCATGAGACACTGAGATCTTTATATGGCGTTCATTGACCTAAGGCCTTTGATTTAATCAACAAATAAGTCCTATGGAAGATCTTGATGAGATTTGGATGTCCGTTAAAATTTGTTACCATCATCAGACTCCTTGTCAAAATGACAGCAAGCAATTCTTTGCTTAGTGGTTTGGAAATGGCCCTCATCATTATTAGAACTGGAGTTAAGCAACGATGTGTGATTACACCAACACACTTTTCCATCTGTATCACAGCCATTCTGCATTTTATTGCTGATAGACTTCCACCTGAAATCAGCAACCAATATCATGTGGATGGGAATTTCTTTAACATTAACTGATTCATTTCCAAATCCAAGCTAACAGTATTATTCTGCTGACCAGAACAGCATTCTAAACCGTGGTCTAAACCATGCCATGTACAGTGATGCTAGTACCTCCCTGTGTGTACTAAATGCACTCCACCTTATCACTCCAGCATTGTGAAAGTCTTTTTCAGCCTTTCCCATCAGTGGCCCATGGTGATTCTATAATCAATCAATATACCCTCTTTTCCTCAGTTGTGGTCAGTCTAGGGGCATCCCCATCTTACAGCTGAAATCTTTTACAGTGATCCTTAAGTGCATGATTTTGTACCTCATACTATTGAACTTAATTCTATTTCTAAAGCTCCATTCCACAAGATGATTGAAATCTTCCTCTGTAACAGGGGTACTCAACTTGTGATCCATGGGCCAAATCTGGCCTGCAGAGCAATGGTATCTAGCCTGCGGCGTTCCTCACAGATCACAAAATTTGTCAATGGGGGAATAGTAACAATTAACAAAGCTACCCCTCCCTTGCTACCAAATTCCCAAACCCTTCTCATTCAGGTTGAGGGCTGAGCCACACCGTCTTTCCCCCATGTGGCCGGATCAAAGCCAAGCTGCCTCCCACCCCACTCCATACAGCTAGACTAGGTCCACTTGTTGGCTCTGGATATAGAACCCGGACCCAGAGGCCTTTTTCCAGGTGGGGATCCACCCTCAGACTGGCAACGACCTCTCCATTCAATAACAGGCAAATTTATTGTTACACAGTGATAACAGAAAAGAAGCAATGCAAACAATCAAGCAAGTCTATATATCTACCAAATCCTAGGTCTGTCATCAGAGTCAAAGTACATCTGGCCAGGATGCAGTCTCCACTCTGAGGCTCTTTCTTAGGTGTCAGATGTCCAACAGTCAGGAGGTGGGATGCCGAGGCCCACAGCCCTTTCCAGTGGGGTGGATGAGATGGGCTGCTCATATGCCCTCCATGGTGGCCTCAGGGACCCTTCCTGGGGGAGGGGGATCCCTCTCAAGGAGGAGAAGGACAGGGATGAAACGAGGAAGGAGGGAGAAGGGACAAAGTGGGGGATGGACAAAGGGAAGGACTCTTTGTTACTCTCAAGTCTCTGCTTTTGTATCCTTCTTCCCTCTTCATGACTCCTGATGACTCTTGATCCATGGCTATCTCTGGTTGGTTGTCTCTCTGTGGTCACACATCCACATACTGTATCGTCACCACATTCCAAACTCATCACATGCACACATAGTCATTTGGTCTTTCTGGGCCTTCTCCTAATTTGGTCTCTTCTCCCAAAACCAGGACACAGCTGCCTTCCACCCCCACTCCCTGCTGCTGCTCTGGGGCCTTGCAGCTGGTGTCACTTTATTTCATCTTATGGGACAGTATGGTATATGCTCCCAGTTTCCAGGCTGTTTTCTAGACTGGTATCCTTGTTGTGTTAGACAACCTGTCTGCTTCGAGGGCTGTGAGAAACTTTGTGTGTGAGACCCAAGCTATTTAGAAATCAATTAATCCCTGCTGTCCATCAATTATAATATATCTATCTATACCTATAATCCAATTCCCCAAAAAACAAACCTTTAAATACCATTTCTAAGCCAACACCACTGGCTGGATCCAGTGGCAGAACTGGGCACTGCCCATCTGGTCCACGAGGCAAAAAGAATTAGCGTCCCTGCTCTATAATAACCTGGTCCTTTTCTGCATTGGGAAAATCCTCCAATTGTATTGGAAAAATCACCCAACTGAGTGTCAGGCTTGCCACGGTGCACCTGAATCCACTACAACTGTTTTGTAATTTGCCTGTTTGTAATTTTGGGAGTTATCTTCACTTACTGCAAGGCAGGAATGAGACAAAACAGTGACAGTGGATCAGCTGATATGTGCTCCCAAGCAATACATCCCCTTCCCCTTAAAGTCCTCTGCCCATGTCCTTTGCTTACCTACAGGCCCTTGCTAGCAAGCAGGAAATAGTCAGGCCCATAACATATAAAGTGATAACAGTTTTTTCTCAATCTATAGTATCTCCTTCTCCACAGAATGAGATGAGAGAAACCTCATAAGAAAATTCTTCTATGCTTTCCCACTCCTGATCTCCAGCTTAAAGGCTCTTTAAAAAGTATGTCCATATCTAACTAACATCTATTCCAGCTCTACACTTGATCCAATAAAAGATATCACTAAAAAGTAGTTGCCTATCTATATGTGTCCTGAACCATCACATCTACAACACTTTAACCCTCCTCCTGCAGAAAATTCATTGGTAAGAGATAAATACAATCCTCTTTCCAGGGCTTAGTTGTTAGCATACAAAATATTTGTAAGGTTCTCTATATAAATACGTCTTCTATTTTTTTTCAGGACAAACTCAAAGCTGGAAATGCTCTGGAATTTTTGGGACTTGATAGAAAACAATTTGTATCACTTTGAAATTACTAGAGAAACCAAACAAGCACAATGTAGCATCTTCTATATATCTACATCAGTGTGTTGTGCATACCTACACACAGGTAAACATATGTTTCTACTATACTAATGTCAAATAAACTCTGCTAATAAATGATTTACTGTTACTGATCGTAAAAGCAAGGGCACTGGAAATCTGGGGATTTCTCTGCATCCTTAGATCTTTGAGGATCCTTCTTTCCTACAGAATGGGAAAGGTCATTGCTTCCAGCTGTTATAACCCACTGAACTTTAATCAGCACTCTTGAAAAGCTAACTCAGAGATTTGTGAATGGCACGCCTTTTCAGTCTTTGCTACCTAGGAAGCCTAATGAACACAGTTTGAGTGCCAACACTTGCCCATATCACTGCTCATTGTTTCATCAGAAATATCCATATGAATGTGTCTGGGACTATAAGATCTTTAGGGCATAAATCGTATTCTCTTATTTGTGTGGAAAGTGTTTTGCACATTATGTTACCAGAATAAAAATAAATAAAGAACAATAAACAATGTGGTTTGATGTTCCATTCACTTAAAACAGGTATTTCACAGGAGGCTCCATGTTCTAAATAGAAAAACACATTAACATTTTTATCACATTGTACACCTGGGAATTATTCTTTAGGATATGACACCCTTTATCTAGGAAGTCCCAGTGTTCTAGGGTGGTGAAAGGTAGGTTGTTTCCTACATCAACATAGGTTTAATCTATGTTGCTTCTCCAAGAAGTCTGTATGAAAGGCATGAACATCAGAAGCCCTGAAGGTGTACAGCACCTCATTAGACCAGGTACTAAGAGATGGGAATCAGATGTCTATGTAGAGAAGGAAGGGAAAGTGGGTAACATGACTTTAGTTAACTTTCACCGTACTGTGACCTACAAGCCCTTCACTGGCAGCTCATGACTAGAGGACGTGAAAGACAAGGTACACTCTTTTCCTTTCAAATGTTTCTGTCCTTTAAAGTTTGTAAGTGTCACAACCCAAAGTTGTGGTTTATTGTTTTTGTGTGCTTCGGCACCGCTAAATTATGTTCCCGCCAAATTGCAGCTTTTTTGCACAGTAGAGTTTTCTGCTGCAATAGGAGAACCCGCGTGCAAAAGAGTATTTCCCGCCGTTTGTAGCCTTCTTTGCATGGTGCATTTCTTTTGCATCATAGTGATGCACGGTGCAAAGTAGTTCCTGCCATTTGTATTTAGATTTGTGCCACATTATTGGCCGGTTCTAAATGTAGGCATACGTGGCGGCTAGCTATTGGCTTGCTAGCCGTACAAAAGGCTTGGGTAGTTTCCGCCCAAGTCGGAGAGAGAGGAAACCTGGAGAGATACAGAACTCGCCAGGAGGAGGAGACTTCGCGCTGTGTGAAGATCTCCAAGCGATGTGGACCCTTGCGGACCCAACGCACCTTTCTTAAGCAGGCAACGGAGGTCCGTTTAGCTTCTAGCCTCTCCCCGTCACCGAGCGCAATCCTAGACATATCCCTATCCTATATACCCAATTTTCGAACCCACGGAGTCTTAACAGCTCCGGGGGACCTGGGAACCGAACAGAACCCACGGAGATTCAGCCACTCCGTGAGGAAAGAATTGCCGAACCCGCAGCGCCTAAACCACTCCGGGGCCCAAGAACCGAGTTTGTCAGAGTCCTCCAATGAGGATTCAAGCGGAGCTGCGCCTGGAAAGCTGTCCAGACTACACCGCGACCACCTTGGGTGTACGTAAATAATCTTTTCAATCAACCATTACGCCTCCGTGACTGATTCTAGCTCGCGCATACCTTACCGCCCCGCGGTCTCCTCTGACCCTGCGTGCCCGGGCTGCTGGCCACAGTCCGCGTGCGCAAAGATGGGCCCGGCTCGCACATGACGAGGATGGGATCGGGAGCCGGCCCGCACAGTAAGTATATAGCTCTACAATTATTTTATACAAGTCTTCAATTATTTGAGTGTTCGACAATTTATCCACCAGGATTTCCAATCAAGGCTGTCTAGGTGGTGACCTATGGGCCACATTCAGTCTGAGTGGGCTAAAATTGTGATATGCAGGCTTCTGCCTGGCTGCCACTCCTCCCACTGTTCCTAATGCTGCAGTGGCAGCCAGTCTTTGGGCAGGGCAGCACAGAAGGGGATATGCTGCCCACACCCTTGCTGCCCACCAGGTGTAAGAGGGGGCTTTGCTGCTTGCACAGTTAGGGCAGTGAAGTGGAATGAGAGCTCACCTGCATGGCAGTGGTAGTGGGGAGGGGCTCACATGAGATGCAGGGGCAGGGGAGCTGCACATGGCAGGGGTCACAGCAGACTGCATGGCATGAGGCCCCCCACAGCATGTGGCACATTTAGTGTGCAGCTTGGGACCTGTATCTGGTGCAGCCTGTGACACCCAGCTGCTCTGAAGCTGGACAGAACAGCCCTGTTTTAAGAAAACTTCAGTGGGGAAAGAGGCATCTTCAATTTTACACAGTGTCTCTTCCTCCTGACCTTCCCACCAACTCTCTTTGCTTCTTTCAAATGTTTGAATGGAGTTAGGAAAAAAAATAAGTCTTAATTGCTCAAATACGTTTTAATCAGATTAATCCATTCTTAATTAATTTTCCTTTGCAAAACCCTTGATCTATCATATTAGCGAGACTACAATATTTATGTCTTCTGAGACTGCAGGCTGGAACCTCTCCAATAACAAGAAAACATATTTGATTACATTAAACCATTACTTAACGATCACAGAATTCTTCACGGTAATTAATTAATGTGGCCTCTGAAGATGTACAGCATTGTGTGTGTTAGATATAAAATAAGATCTATTACTGAATAAAGCTATTTATGCTCGATGCCTCTGGCTCGGATTTTGCAGCCTGCGGGGCAATCCTCTATCTCCTCTTTTTTAATATATAGTTTAAAGCGAATATTATCTAAATGGATCTTGAAGAGAAAAGGAAGTTTGCAAAATAATTATCCCAAGTACAGGCAGTCCTCAGACTTATGACACAATTGGTTCCTGAAAACCGCGTCTTAAGTCGAAACGTCGTAACTCGGAACCGATTTTCCCATAGGAAACAACGTTATAAATGGGGACGGGTTCCTGAACCAAGGCCCGATACCCTATTTTCACCCAAAACAACCCAGAATTTTGTATTCAATCAATTATAGATGAGTAACGTATTTATATTGTAAATAGCAATCATATTGATTTGGAAAGACTTCTTTGAGGTGACTTGGCTGGGCCTTTTGATGGGCTCTTGGTTGGACATTTTGAAGGGCTTTTGGCCAGAGTCTCCTCGGGAGTCTCGGCTGCAGGTTTTTCTGGAGTCTCGTCCACTTTCTTAAAGAAAAAGCGTCCAAGGAAGTGTGCACAGACATTCTCTGGGGAGACGGACGCTGCGGCAAACTTGTTTGCAGGCGCCGGATCCAGCGTCAAGTCGAACCTGACGTCAGAAAGCCGAAACAGGATGGGTCAGAAGCGCAACACGTCGTATCTCATAATGTTGCAAATCGAGGACCTCGAATGACACGCACCGGGCGCGTTATGCGACTTCCACCAACAAGTCTCCAAGGAAGCGTTAATCTGATTGCAATACAACAGTTGGAAAACTTCCCGAGTCCAAGACGGGCGTTCCCAAAACTTCCAGGTTGAAAAGATGAGCGCCAGGGCAGCAGACGCGGGGCTTTGGCTACAAGACAGACGCCCACACCTCCCTGCTCCTCAGCCCTCTGGGCTCGAGGCCCCGCCTCC